CCGAACCTTAAACTAGCCCATACGAGTTATTTAACACGCCAAATGATGAGCTAAAACTAAAATCAGTTGCAGATTTTGCCTTTTACCAAGCAGCTGATCTTCTTGTTCGTCGAATAAAAGCTAAGAAATCACCACTCGGCAATGCTTTCCTATACAAGCCTTTGCGTCCATGTTTTTTATTTCCTTGCTGCAAAACATACCATCGACCAGACCAAACCTAAATTAAACTAATCTGATGCAAATGGAGGTGTGGGAATTGTTCATTGAAGATGTGTTATCTGACCATATTCATTATCATGTAGTTTGAAGTTAAAATCACCTGGAAATGGAATGTGGGATTTGAACTCTTTGATAGAATCGAGAGGCCATCACGAACAGCTACTGGGAAATGAAACCAGTCATGAGAAAGCAGATAAACAATCTATCAGGGACTTGAAGGAAACTAAATGAGATACTACTTTTTGATTGATGATTAATTTGTTTTGTTTCTTACCCAATGTTGAACCAGAGTCACTCTCGTCAAAATTAGATTTGAGAGATGGGCTCTTTGACAGTGAAGGCTTGTCTGTACAAGTGAAGAAGAAAAGTGGAACTCCATCAGTCTTAAGTTCATGCTTGTTTATGAGCTCTGCAGGACTAGGAGCAGTGTAGTTCCTGAAAATGGTTAAAACCCATAAACCTAATGTCTATAAATATACGTTTCATTGAGGTAATATGAAAGGTTGAGTGAATGTTGACGTTACCTTGGGTTTTCATTTGATTTCTCCACAGTTGCTATTGCTGCTATCAGTATTTTGAAAAACAGAAACAAGAAATGATTAACATAAAGAATTAGAATTGTAATGCATAGAGGAAGCAAGCTAGCTAATTGTAAACATGAGGTGATATTCGGGTGACTACGTGCAGATAAATATCGCCGGTGATGTCTTGGCAAAGCTGGGTTCCATTTGACTCTGGTTAGAGCAAGCTTGTGAGCAAATTGCTCGCACGAGAGAAGTCTCTGGTAGAACATCGAACAAGTGATTTATAAATGAAAAGCAAGTGTCAACATTCCATAAATCAAAATTGTAATATAGAAAGATGAAGTATCGAACTTGTTGGAGGCAATAGATGCGGAGCTCAGCCTCAGAAAATGAATCAGTCTCGGAAATGGAGTGATTTAGATTAGCAGAGACGTTTCCCAGATGATCAACAAATGTAACGACTGCCTTGCATATGTACTCTCTTGTGTTTTCCACCACACTGAAAAGTACCAATCATTATTTAACAAGCATGAAAGAGCTTGGCTTGATGTTCCGGGAATGCTTAGAAATAAAGAAAAACTTACCTTCTCTTCTCCTTGGAGTTCAAAAACGTTGTTTCACAGTAATCCGCGGCGTAATGAAGCTGAGACCGCAAATCTCTCAGTTCCTGTAAGCAGTTAAAAATACAAAAAACAAGAGAACGTTAACATGGTAGTTTTGTTCAATGAAAACTACCCCCGAAGCTCTCGGTTCCTGAAAATGAAGTAAACCTGGAGAGACTTGTCAAAACGAAAGCCTTGGCCCGAATCTTCTTCTTCCTTCAGAGGAGAAAGTATTTCTGAAATATGCATTTTTCTTGTCTTTCAAAACTAGAGGTAACCGATGATGATGGTCACGCACTCACTGGTTTGTAGGATAGGACAGCTGAGTTAAATTTAAAAACCAGTGAAGATAAGGAGGAAAGGAACCATTTTTTCTGGTTTTAAATTTGAAAGAGAGAAAGGGTTTGGCTGATTTTTACAAGAAACAAGGAGCTGCCTGAAGAAACAATATAAAGTAGAGATTCTCTTTCGCATATCAATCCCATGAGCACGAATGGGAAGAAGAGAAAGATGACAAAAAACATTGCAGTCCCGTGATTTTATGTTTCTTACCTTTTTATTATTATTATTATTTTCTTTCAAAAACCTTTTTTTCTGGAAAAAGAGCATTACCTACCGCCAAAATTTGCTCCTGCTCCTGCTCCCACTGCCGCACACGCCATCTGCCAATTACCACGACATGCATATATAATTTTACATGCCTTGTGGAATTCATTTGTTGGCTGATCCTTTTCTTTATGCTTGATCATCTCAAGACGTGCTGCTTTTCTTTTTGAGTGAAATAAACAGTAAATCAATGTTAAAATAATGCAAAATAAATCGACCGAATCAAGACACATTAGTCTTCACCGACCTCACTAACATTAGGGAATGAAGACGACACAAATTGATATAAAAATGCAAACTATTCCCAGCAAAAGCAAAATGTTACTACATATTATAATGCAGCAACAGAACCTATGGTCTACCTGCCAGCATATATCCACCCGAGTTTAGTGATTAATTGATATAAGTGGCAGATTCAACAAAAAAACAATTAGAACAGACACACGTACACTAACAACACAATTTTTTTATATGAATGAGAGGAATGAAATTTCATTAAAAATATTTACCCGCCATAAAAAAATTTAGATTTTAGGGTGGATGTTTACCCACCATAAGCTCAACATAGATCCGCCAGTGAGCAACCAACGCCAAGGAGCACATTAGTCTTAGCAGCTGCCATGAACATTATTGAGTCTTTTTCATCACCATAAATGCCAAAGTTCCCGGAGACGTAGGCCCTCCGTTTGGCATACCAGCATCATCCGTATAACAATCTTCGGGGCCAGATTTATCAGCTTGGTTTCTTTCAGAAATAAAATCCTTCTGGCTTTCCACCCGTCTTAATACGGTATCAATTGACGTAGGATCTCTAACTTTAAATGCTGAAATTACATGTTAATTTGAACAGAACACTAATTTTAACGTCCACGGTCTCTTAAAACACTAATGTTCTTATTTCACATTATTTTTGTAAAAAAAAAAAAATCCTACAAATATACCTTACCGACTGACGGCCCGCTATCGCCACCTGTCAACTCAACGACCGTCAAAATTAAATTCCTCATAGAGGAATGTCCAAACTACCCCCATCCTCATCTTCTTCCGGAATTCTATCACCATTCAATCAAAGACAGGTGTCGACACCAAATCAAACCCCCCGCATTTTCTATTGTGAGTTCCTAGATCACGTTGATCTTTAACACTTCAATTTGTATTTCAACGTCAAATTATTTGATAGACTTAATTTATTACATTATGATCTTAATGAATTATAGTAATAAATTTTAAAATAATTTTTAAATAATCACTCCATTTTTACACAAGAAAAATATAAATATTCACTTTTAAAAAATTATATAAATAAATATTATTGATTGAGATTATAGATGGTATAGTAAATTGAGATCATCTAATAATTTATCCTATTTAAACAACAAAAGAATCAAATAATGAATTTCAGATTTTAGTTAATTTTAGGGTGAAGTACATAAATAGTCTCAAACTATATGATATTATTTTATTAAGTAACTTGACTATTTAAAGTTATAAAATAGTTTTTCAATTATAGAATATTGTTTTGTTGAGTTCCTCGACTATTAAAAGTTACAAAATAATCACCCAAATATTCATTATATTCCAAACTCTTCATTTTTCGTTAAAAATTTGATAATGAATGTGATAGGATAGTCTTTTGAGATTTTAGGAATAAATTATATCATATTACAATTAACAAGTTAATGTTCAGCTCAGAATATCATTCACTTTTTAACAAAAAACGACGAGTTTGAAACCTAATAAATAATTAAATGATTATTTTGTAACTTTTAATAGTCAAGAGAAATAATACATTTGGTAGTGAAAACATTTGTCAACTGGTGTCGGATTCAAAACAGCTGAATGACAGTATTTATCCATGCTTTCTTTGTTTTTTGTGGTCGGAGTGCTACAAAATTGACAACCTGGGGATGCCTATCAAGAGTATAATAGAGTATAGAGTGATCTAAATTCATGGAAAACTTTTACAGGATTAATCCTATATAAGGTCGCATTCAAAGAGGGTGTCGGAGAACATATTGCAGGGCACGTTCCTAGAGAATTAGCTTGATTTCACCCTCTAAATCCGATCATCGTCATTTCCAAAATCTATAAAACCGTCACGTTCAATGGGAATGCCTCTTTTGGATGATGGAAATATATATTAAGCTTCCAAAAGTGTTATAAGAGAAGAAATGAGCTACTTACACCATTGAACAGCCGGGCCTGCGGTGCCTTTTCTTCCTTGCCACCTCCTTCCTCCTTGGGGGTTGAAGAACAACCTTGATTGCAGTATCGAAAACGGCCTTGACATTCTGAAACAGTCAACAAAGTTGCACTTGTTAAAACATATACCTAACAATATTCAAAAACGGAAAGATCGAAGATGGAAAAGGCAATGGTGCAAGCCTCAAGTATAATGACAAGGAATTCACCTGCTGAGTCTTGGAACTGCATTTTCCTCAGTTGCTCTCCCTATGTAGGATGATCCACATCAGCTACTTAGGTTCACGCCAAACAGGCAAATAGTATCGGCAAATGAATTTCGAACGAGCTGCACTTAAGAAATGGATACCTGAGCAGATGTTATAATATTAGACCCCATTTGGTCATCAAGAAATGGATATCTGATTTACATATAAAGAAACAAAATTCAATGTTATTCATGAAAGCCATCTAATTCAAACGAACTTAACTGCAACATCATGTGTTCAAAGTTTCAAAATAGCTGCCTACCCAACTTTGTTCCAACCAGAACAATGGGAACATTGGGCGCAAATCTACGCAATTCAGGCATTCACTGTGAACAGAGGAAACGGAAAGCTTAGGCCATTGGATAAAACAAACTAAAACGGACCCTTCTTGAGAACATAACCTAAATTTACCGTTGCAAAAAGGACTTTTTCTTGTCTAAAAGTAGAAACCATTGACACTGAAGAAAGTACCTTCTTGAGAACATTTTCATAGCTGGCTCTGCTAATTAACGAGAAAGCCAAGACAAATATGTCTGCACCTCGGTAACTCAATTGTCTTAGCCTGCTATAATCCTCTTGACCTTTTAAAACCAAATGAGAAGGCAAAAAACGAATCAGAGATGGAGAATCAATGAAAACCCATCATAAAAAATCCCAGCAAGCAGCCAAAGAAGAAATACTGTGGTATCCCATAAACCCAAATTAACAATGCTCCCATCCACAGCCACATTGGCACTGAAATCGTCAAACACGGTCGGTATATAATCCTGAAAAAGAAAAGAAAGAGAACAACTTTAAACCCTTTTCTGAGTTTCAAAAACCCTAGTACTCAAAAAACACATAACCCAAATACAAACAAGTGAGAATGGAAGCGAAGCAAGTGTTTTAAGCAAATGGGGGAACTTACAGATGGGAACCTGTTGCTGGTGTAACAAATGAGCATACGGGTTTTGCCAAAAGCTCCATCTTCAACCGTAACACATTTAATGAACTTTGAAGCACTCATGGTGTTCTTAAAAGCTTCCCCAAATTGAACAAAGACTTGCAGTGGTTCTAATGCCACTGCAACAGCGGCAATATATAGAAAGTTGAGGCAAAGCAAGCAAACCGCTTCAGAGTTCAGAGTCAAAGTTAAACAGCGGCAGGAGGGGAAAATGTCTTTTATAGAGACTCGAGGGTTGCAAATTCAAGAAAAAAAATATATTAAAAATACAAATTTTAACTTCCAACTTTAACTTCACTCCTATTTTGGTCATTAAATTCAGAAAAATGTGGAGACATAAAGGTTTTAACTTCCTCCTATTTGCTGGAAATGTGGAGACCTAAAATATCAATACTTTATTTGCCATTTCCAGAATTTGTTCCAATGCCAAGGATCCACATAAATTTACACCATTCATATATATACGAATTTATGTACGTATACGTACAATGCTAATTGTGACCAAAATTTACAATTCAACTTGGTACAATTAAGCCTGCAAAAAAATATTTTCAGCGGAATTATCCCGCTTCCAAATTACTCTACAATCATGGTGTTATCCATACTGTTTACAGCTCTCTTTTCCTCTTTGTTTTAGCTTTTTAACTCCATCCCCATGCCTGCAGAGCAAATAAGCTTTGGCGGTTAATGAAAAGGATTCTACTTCAATGGATGTTTGAAATTTGAAGCATTGATATGTTGTTGTTTTTTCACCTGAATTCGGCCGTCAGATGTTCCGGTGACTAAAACTTCTTCGTTGGGATCAAGAGTCATACTTTACCATTAGTTTCTGTTTGCAGAATATCGATTCTGGTTTGTTTTTTCAGGTCCCAAACTTCCACAATTCCTCCTTTGCATCCCAAGTATATCAGCTCTGAGCTTATTGTCATACACCTCACTTCTGAAGTAGTCGGCAACGATCCCACCATGTTATAATTTTTAGTGCTCCAGATCTTTGCAGCAAAAAAACACAAGTTAGAAGAAGGAAAAGCCTTTGCTTGTCATCAAAATGAAGAAAACGCTAAAGAGAAAAAGAAAAGAAACCTTCACAGCTTCTCCATCTAAGGCAGTGCTGGCTGAATATATCAGTCCATCGTTAACCTGAAGTGCATGGATCGGATGTGCTTCGCCCAGCAATTTTCTGAACCACTTTGAATGCTGCTGAGTGTTCCTGATGCCAAATCAAGTTCCTGATAATAAGACTTGGTTTCATTAGGATTTCAATATTAATGACTGAACAAAGGGTATCTAGAGAAAACGTAATACCTGTATACTGCTATCATGACATCCACAATATAATCTTCCATGGTCGAGAGCCAAGCACTTGATGTACTTATTTTGATTCAATACTTTTGATTGTCCATTCCATGCATGAACCTGAAAGGGGTAGGTGAAAAGGCTTAAATTCATTTTCCCTCCAGATGCAGAAAGCTGGGAGAATAGGGTGACTACTGAAAATGAAGCATGAAATGATTGGATACCTTGACACCGGCTCTTGGGGAATGAAGCAAGAAATACTATTGGCAACAACTAAATTATGAACCTGACCCTTCATATCATGCACTTGTACACAATGTATTAGTTCATTGCCAATTGAACAGACCTGTTCATTGCACACAAAATCTGTCAGTTTAGCCCTTCAGTGAATGAAATCTAGAAGAAGCATAAAAGCAGATACCCTTGTAGTTTTATCAAGTGAACCACTATATAATCTCTCCCCAGATTGTAGAATATACAAGCTTGTAATAGCCTTGGTATGTTCTTGAATTTCTTGGAAAAGATGAAGACTGCTGCCTGTACCAGCCCAGACCTTCAAAATTTCGAACATAACCGTCAAAACTCAAGGTTCATTACCTTCTATTACAAGTACAGTTTCAGAAAGAATGAAGTTTGCAGTAAAAAAAATTGTAATTTCCCCATAAATAAAACACCATTTGAAGAATGGCGCAAATGAAATATTTCCCTCATATGAATTGGCTGTGACTAAAACATGTTCGTCTGATTCATTAGTGTATAATTGAATATCACTTATACGTAATTGACTACTTCTGTACAATATCAGAGCCAGAAGGTTACCTTTATAGTTCCATCAGTATGGCCTGAAAAGAATTTTATCTTTGAAACTAACAATTGACAATACTTCTCCATTTTCGGCAGAGTCTAATTGAGCGAGTTCTTTATGACTCCACAAGTCCAACAGCAAAGCAGAAATAGACAAGTTCAATTTGATACTTTCACTTCTTTTCTTTCTTATGGAATTATTGATTCGGAAGTTTAACACGCTTACAGCACTGCAATCATGTTCTTTAAAGAGAAGTTTCATAATTTCAAATGCCAGTTGGGAAGATTTTCTTAGCTTTCTTAAACCTTTCAAAATGTGCTTAATGTAGGAAGTCAGATCACGCAGTCCTTCTGAAATTCACGTAGTCTTGCATAGTTAGCTAGCTTCAAAGCACTATAAATGCAGTTTTCAAGAACCTATGAACCAATCTTTTTTACTGCAAAAATTACAACCTACCAGGGTCATGAATGAATCTTTTGAAAGCCAACAGGGAAAGGGTTCTGTCTTCAATGTTCTTTGAAGACTTGAATGTTGATATAAAGTGCTCGAGTAGGCAGACTCGGGCGGCTCCTCTTATTCCGGTGTCTGGAATAACATCAAGCATGTACACTAGCCATGTTGCTGCCACGTATTTAAAACAAGAAAGGCCCAACTCAGATGTTGTCTCTTTGATAATTGATTCTGATATGGTTTTCCCTTAACAGACCGCTGCTAAACGTGTTCACAAGAAGTTAAATTGTCACATGTCGATCCTTCCTCCCAACTGTATATTTAAACAACGTTCAAATCAATGAACTCTTTTTTTTTTATTTAAAAATTATGAGCGAGGCCGATTGCCAAGCTCTTTGCCCAGAAAAACAAGAATGTATCCCGAATGGACTTTTAGCGCTTTGTTCGAAGTTCACTATTTGAATCGACTTATTACTAGCACTTTGACACGAGGAAATTAGCTAAGCATGATATTGATTATCATACATAACATGGTTTTGTAAAATAAAAACAATTGAAAACGAATAACGTAAAAGAAAATGAAAACTTAGATTAAAATGAAATACTCAAGTAACAAAAAAAAGAATAAGATGATTTGTTTAAGCCTTACCCAAAAGGGTATTTATAGGCTTCCTAAATCTAGAGATAATAAAATAAAATCAAAGATAATTTCGGTGATAATTCAAATGTTTGAAACAAAAAACCAACAAATTCAATTCCTAACAACTCCATCAGAATCGTGTTGACTGGATGTGCTTCCAGAATCTTCCAGCGCCTTTCAGTGTCTTCCAGAACTACCATGTCAGCTCTCCGTCGTGCCTATGTCTCCAGCTATGATCATAAAATAAAAAAAATTACACATCATGTCCTTTTGCTGCCAATTTCAATATTGGGTTTTCTGTACAGGAAATAAACCAAATGCAACCAATTAAGAAGTGAAAAACTCATAAAATAAAGAAATTGACAAGCAAAAATGTCAATTATAAGAACACATCAATATTAAATATACAAACATTTTATGTTAAATAATTAAAGATTATTTTTAAATATATATTATACATATATCAAATTAATAAAAAAAATTGATACTTTAGATGCATCCATCATCCAAATATGATAAATTATTAATAAATCCTATTTTGATATCCATAAAATGTGGTGTAGAAAAGGTCATAATCATTAAATAATCATTTTTTTCTGCAAGTTGGAAGATGCAGCCATTTCCAATCACTCTACCCAACAAAAACGTTTGTATTTTAGCATTCGTTCCTCCTAATTTTGCGTTTCTTATATAATATTTAAATTATTAGTATAGAAATTTGAAGATAATAAAAATATTTATTTTCTACGATTTAAATTGTCAAATTATAATTTTAAATTTAATTTAAAAATATTATTTAAATTAATATTTGATAAATTATCAATAAAAAATATTTTCTGAAAATTATGACAATTGTATGTTTATAGTTTTTTTTTCTAACTAACTATATATTAAATAATGATATTATATTACTGACACTGATTGATTGAAATGGTAAATAATTTAATATCGTTTAATTAATATCTTGAGTTCGAGATTTTATGTATGTAAAAAATCATTATTAAAAAATTCACCTACTAAAATCAGGTGTGTGGACACTAATCGGCGAAATTTGAAGGTTCGAGTATGAGTTGATGGGAGGGTAAAAGCTTGCATCGTAGGGCGGAGAAAATTTTGAGGCGGAGCTCAGATTGGGAGAGGATTTTGGAGGTGAAGGCGGTGATATGATGGAGGATTCGTGTCGACGTAGCGACGGTGGTTCCCATGGCGTCAATACTGATTAACTACAGGGATTAAGTTTGAGTAAAAGGGTCAGAGAGAGGTTTTTGATGCATGGTTTTCCATACATAAATCTTTGTGATGGAGACACTGGGACGGCCCATCTAAACTGACCGATCAGTCCTCTGACACTGAAACTTGAGCGCTTGAAAAGATTTAACATTTCGACTGCAAATGTTAAAAACGTAGTTAAAAACGTAATTGAAAACTAAAGAAAAAGAAAGGACAAAGCGGCAGAGCCCCTATTAGCCGCCCATGCCGGCCTCACTGAAACGCGCTTCTAACGTACTTGGACTGCTTCCACTCAGCATCGCCGACCTCAGGTTTAGATTGGGCCACCTCTTTGCTTATTCCAACAACGAAAGCGAAAATGAAATCATTTAAAATAAGATAATCGTTATAATGGTTTAAAGTATAAGTAGATCAATAAGATAATTAACTAAACACTAATTAAAAATTCGATCATCAAATTAAAATAAAAATAAGAAAAATGTGTTATAAAAGCATATCAAACATGCTAAGGAAGAAAAGCACATAAAAGTTAAATTAAATTAAATTAAATTAAACAACTAAAAGAATAAAGGGTAAAGTATACAAATGGTCTCTGACTATAGGGTATTGCTTTATTAATACAATTGACTATTAAAAGTTATAAAATGATCTTCCGACTATAGAGTGTTGCTTTGATGAATCCCACAACTATTAAAAGTTATAAACGGTCACCCGACTTTTCGTTATGTTTCAAGCTCGTCATTTTATGTTAAAAATTGATGATATTCTGATCTGAGCGTTAACATGCTGACAGTGATATGAAAATAATATAATCCTAGAATCTCATACGACTATCATATCACGGTCATCAAGTTAACGTCCAACTTAAACAATTGCCAATTTTTAACAGAAAATGATGAGTTTGAAATAGTCGGGTGATCATTTTGTAACTTTTAATATCGAGAGACTTAATAAAACAACATTCTATAGTCAGAAAACAATTTTATAATTTTTAATAGTCGAATGACTTAAGAAAACAATATCATATACTCGGGAACTATTTGGGTACTTTACCCCAAGAATAAACCACAAGAGTTATAGTAGAATATGGATGGGGATATCACCCTTCTAGATAATAAAAAGAACATGTAATTATATTTAAATATTGTTTAGAAAATTAAAATATTCTGCTAACAATATATCAGTATTAATATATATACTAAATTTACAACTTAAGCGGGATAAATATATTATTGATTCGAGTAATTTTTTTGAATCAATTTGGGTAAGTGTACAAGGCAATATATGTTAAAAAATAACTCTTAACTTTTTGAATTGAATGTTTACATCAATAATATCTATGATGTTCGAATCCAAATTTTTAAAAATATTAACAATTCATTTACTATGAAACCACTTCAAGCAATGTTGAATAATAAACTTTATACAATTGTACCCTCTAAAAAAACGCATGTCACTTAAGATACATTTATTTTTTATACATGTATGCACCAATATTTGTCTATTTACTTGGGTCTAGGGAAAAGATTAAAAGAAATAAAAACATGTTTATTGGGGATAAAACAAATATTGGGTGCAGTTGGTGGACATTGGCAAACTGCAAATTACCATGTTATACCAACAAATAACATCTATTATGTTGACATGAAACCATGCACGCGCCGCATGAGACATAATCATTGACGCGTGGCACGTGCCCTATTTTAAAAATTAGTGTAAAAACAGGCAAACATTTTGATGATGTAGTTTCTTTCTTGTTTTGAGTCGCCAACCTTGGTCGGTATAAATAGTTGATTTAGTAATTTAAACTTATACATTTAAATTTGAATTTTATCACTGTAACTTTTGAGAGGTAATCTTTAAATTATTATGTAGATTCTAATTAAGTTTTAAGAATGTCCTATTCCTAGACTGATAGAATCACCCCTAACCTAAAAAATTTATGTAACAAAAAAATTCTTATGTCAAAAACTGGACACCTGATCACCTAAATTTTTGTGATCACAATAATATTTGTCTATATATTTATATTCTTCTTGAATCGATATTCCAAATAAATCTACTAAAATTTAATTGATAAATAATTTAAATACAATTTATTTAAATAAAAATTAATATCATAATAGTATTTTTTTAATTTGATAATTTATGAGATCTTTAAATAAAATAATTAAAAATCAAACAAATTCATATTAACAGATATACATATAAGTAGAAGTTAACACTTTAGCAGCTAAGCTTAAATCTTAATTAGTAGTAGTAAATTAGATAGAGAGATTGTTATTAAAAATAACCATGCTAGGGCTTAGTACACAACGTGATCGACGAAATAGTCCAAAGAAGGAACATGGTGTATAGCATCATGAGCAATCAGCCTTACAAGCTTTTTTTTTTTTTTTGAATTAGCAGAGTGACTGCTCATGATGTTATATAAATGAAAAATAAGCCTGATTATCTATCGGAAGAATCCGGCGCCCAGAGCCGGTGGAGGAGCCCAGTAATCAGCTCCATTGTCGCCACTCCACACTTCAAGTGTGCATGAAACCGGAACCAAGCACAGCCCTCTACTCCTCAGATCCTTATTTGCTTCTTCCTTACAATCCTTCAAATCCCAATAAATAAATAAAGAGTAAAGCTAGCTATAAAGCTGAACGTTAATGTTCTTTAAACAATGCATGTCTTTATGGGTATAAAGCTTTTCTTTTCAAAATCCAAGTTTTCCCTACTAGTTTCCCTCCAAGTTCCTTTGAGGTAATGGATCCAATAAAGCTTAATTATTACCTGACAAGTGTCTTCCCCTTTAACCTAAACAAAACATTTTATGGTTATCCTTTATCATTAAATACCACCTTGTTCCTCATATGCAGAGGGATTTGTTTACTTACATACAGTTGGTGCTTCATGTTTGCTGATCCATTGCCCAAGTAGGGTAAGCTGAGAGCCTATATTCATGGAGAATGAATATATTTATTGATCAGTAAAGTTGTTGAAAAACTAGAGAAGTTAATTTAATTGAGACTTTGAAACAGTGTGCTATCACTGTCACTGCTGGTTCATGGTTGTTTGCAAAAAACTGAAAAAGAAAAAGGAAAGAGAAACATCACCTCAATTTGACTCTGAAGGAATCTAATGTAACCAATGGCTTCTGACAATACAGAGGCTGTGTCAGTCTGCAAAAGAGGAAAAAAAACTACACCATTTAAGCTTCTTTATGGGCTTTCTGCACAACAAAATATTATGCTTTCTTTCCATTAATTTCATTGATTAAAGCTTGTTCTAATACCTTCCCAAATGGAGAAACAAGCTGGTGAAGTGATGTTATTCTGTCTCCTAATTTTTCCTTCCTCACCTGTTATACACGTGAATCACACAAAACAGAAGAGTAGCTCGATACTCAGTAGAGATAAATCTTAGCAGAGATGAAGGCTCTGAAAGGGTGATTTTAGGTAAAGTTTTTGCTGCCTTTTTTATAAATTTATTTTACAGTACCTTTAAGGTAGACTGGGTTGCAGAAGGTTGAACCCTAGCCTTCTTCAATGGCCCCCCAGTTGCAGTGCTGTTACACTGCAAAAAAATGAGGAAGATGAGAATTCTGATTTTACAGCAATCTGCAACTAACCTTGTTGAAAAACACAAATCATATTAACCACGAGTTTGTACTCTGTACTATATCAAAGTGTAAAAAATAGATCAACTTGTGGATTTGTCCCCTCTCTCACCTCAGAAGACCGATTTGGAGCAGGATGCCTTGGAAGATCAGCTTTGTTGCCTGAAAAATCCAACATGTTACTGCTGAAACTTGTGACACCACTGGACTTAGGGGATGAAGCAGCCGACGATATCTGACGAAACCAAGCCCGTTTTGTGGCCTGATTATGATGAAAATCTTCATTTGCATGTCCATACACATAGCTGCTTGCAGAGTTTTCTTGCTTCACATCCACAACGGAATTAGCATCCGAGACCTGGTGTAACGCTTGCAAACCCTTCTCTTCATCTCCCACCAATCCACCCCTATAAATAGCGCTTGTAAGCAACATAAATTAACACTATATAAATCCTATGGCCCTATTCAGGAAAAAAAAAGTGTGTGAGAGAGAGAATTACAAGAGAAGCTGACTCCATGGCTCGGGAAGCTCGTGGTTATCATACCAAGTAGGAACATGAATCGAAGAGGAGGAGGAGGAGGAGGAGGAGGGCGTGTGAGGGAAGAAAGTAGTGGGAGGATACAAAAAGGGAGAAGAAGCGGCCGCTTGTTGGTGATGGTGAGTTGGTGGGTGCATGGTGTTATTATTCCACCAGTTAGGGTTTCCCACCATCATCTGCTGAACTGGTGAGCTCTGCAACAATCCTCGGTTCATGGCCCTTATGAATCAATCTCGAACGAAGATGACGATGTCTGTGATCACTTAAAACAACTTTCTTTTTCTTTCTTTCCTTGTTTGCCTTTCACTTTCCCTTCTTTGTGAAACTACTACCTATGCTCTCTCTCCAAACAAGTGTGCTTGCAGAAACTTTGAGAGGTCTTTCTACTAATAATTTTTTAAAGACTTGAGGGGAATTTGAATCAATGGAGGTCTTTGGGAGAAAACTTTGTTGTTTTCCTTCTTTAATTTCTTTATTGAATTGTCTTTTCCTTTCTTCCTTTTATTTTATGTTTTCCTTTACTTTCTCTGCTTTTTCCTCGCTTTTGCTTTATTTCCAAGTGGGTCAGAAGAAGAAAGCAGAAGCCATAAGCCATTCTCAATTCCTAATTTACTACTAACTTATACCTGTAAAATAAATGTATTAATCTGAAATAAGTATATGTTTAAAGATAAATATTCACACCCTTGATATTTATGATACTCGAACCGGAGTCCTAAAAATATAACAATAATTCTTTTATCACATAGATCACAAAGAGGTATTCAATATATTGTTATTCAAGTTTTTTTAGTCATGAACTAAACAAATATTGTTATTCAATATATTATACACAAGACACCCACATAGAGGTAGCTAGATAGGTCCCATACCATGGTGTGGGATGATTTCGTTGTTGAAATTAAGAATAGTGGTTTCCTTAATTATAAGCATACATAAAATATTATCCATATGGTTATTAAATATCTTTCTTACCGGCTGTGAATAGGGTCAGGAGCTAAACTGTTACACATTTTTGTATATGTATTTAAATAAATAATATGTAAGTATGTATTATTATTTGTTAAGTTATTGGAATATTGTTTATAATATCATCTTAAATATCAACAAGTATATTTAGATGGCTGATCTAGTCATTTATTTTTATTACCTTGTATTTTATTGGGGTTTTTATTTCCTTTCCCTAAATAAGATTAGAATTAAATTTAAAATGTCAAAAATATATTATTATTTGGATTCGAACACAATATATATCAAAAGTGATTGAGCATTCATTATCGAATGGATTGAAAATCTTTCAAATATATACTATTTTTTAATTAATATACGGTAAATTACAAGAAGAAAAAAAACTTTAAAAAAAAGAGTAGAGTAGTTGGAGGTAGTGGGTGAAACGACGACGGGATGATGAAAATAGGTAAGGGTGTGTTTGGATTAATTTAATAAAGCAAATTAGTAAACCACTAAACGTGCGATAAATGAATGTGGAAAAATGAAAAAGGAGGAGTCGCCCGTGACCTTGAGAGGACCGCACGCTGCACTTAGAGTTTTGGGTAAACTACTTTAATAGTCACTTTATTATACGAAATTTAATTCGATTAATTATTAGCTTAAGGTTTACCCTTGTCTCTGTAGTAAACTCAAATTATCATTTTTGTTCATATCGTATTTTCGCATGAATTTAGTGTTCAAAGTTGTTTAATTACATCTTTCTATATCCTACACCTAACTTGAAATCTTAAATTATAAACTCTAAGTTAGGGTTTGATGTTTATAGATTATAGGATTAGGTTTAGGGTTTTAAGTTAAAGGTAGTGGTATAAAATGATGTATTAGAGCAATTTCGAAGGTTAAATTAGTGTGAAAATAATATATGGGAAAAAATTATAAATTCGATCCACTATAGAGGAAAAAGTTATCATTTTGCCTTAATTATTTATGTTAACGGTTAACAAAAATGATATTGTAATAATTAAATAAATTTGTATGACTATAAATTTAAATATCGTCAAAATTATTCAATCAGATGATAACAACAATTTAAATATTTATGTTAACAGTTAATAAAAATTTGATTAATTTGTATGTTATATAAGGTAAAATTTGTTTAAATTTTTTATAGTTTATCTTCAACGCATATGTACCATATAAGTATAGCCGCTTAAATTTGAGTTATTTAAAAAAAATCAACATTTTCTTCCACGATCCCAACGATTAATGTAATGTTTTCAAACCTCATTGGCTATGTTGTCGTAATTTCCTTTCTAACGCCAACAATATGTCGATTAATTAAAGCCGTTATTATTCCTTTTTGTGATCCCAAGGCGTACTCGCCTACGCTAAAACCCTCGCGCCTTGAAGTCTATAATTCGTAGGTATATTATTCAGCTGATCGTAATTGAGGGTTAGAACAGATTTAGATTAAAAACATATATTCAGCTTGGGTAAATAACACCAATCATCACTGAACTTATTCTCTTTCCTATTTTACTCATTCTACTTTAAATCTCCCTAATTTTATCACTGAATTTAATACAATTAGTTTTTCTGATCACTCAACCGTTAAATATTTAACGACATTCAAACGGCACCGTTTTAGAAAAAATAAAATTTTCACGAAAACGACATCGTTTTGCATCTATATAACAACTTATTATAACGATATTTACTGAGAAAACGCTTAGGTGACCAAAAATGCTAATCGAGTTAAATTTAATGAGGAAATTGAACAAATTTAAAGTGTAATTAATGAAATTGGAGAGAGAGGGTAAACTTAAGTGATAATTGGTGTAATTTACCCTTTCACTTTTATATATAACTAAATGGGTAACTATTTCATAACTAGCGGAGTAAAAAGAAACATTCCACAAGTGAAATTATATTAATGTTTTATAATATATTTGAATGATCCCAAATCTTAAACACAAACTAAAATCTGTTCTCCTTGTTTTACTTTACACTTTGTGCTATTTTTTATATATTAATTCATTTTTTAAAAAATTTTGTTTAGCTATACGCATTTTGACCCGGGTTGTAAACCGTCAGTTATCTTTTTTTTTTTAGTTTTTTAATAAGATTAATTAAACTTTTGTAACACATTTATCTCTGTTTTTGTGACACATTTATCTCTGTCTTCTGATAGTTCTTGATCGTTATTTTCGTTTATATATTTTCTAAGGGTTGGATTTGGCATCGTCGCGACCGATCAAGATGACGCTTATTTGTTATCATGCTGGTCTTCCCTGCTTTGGACACTCATATTGTTTCGGATACGCATTTTGTATTCGTGGATAGTTTTCTCACGTCACTTAACTCTGATTTGTGATTTGTCGATGGTCTTTCAGTAGTTTCATCCCCTTTTGTAGTTTGTTTGTCGATGCAGTTAGATTTATTTCTATTTTTATTTTGTTCGAGCATTTGAGTTATTTTTTTAACATTTTCTTTCTTTGTTCCTTATGTGATATAGTGGATAGTTTTTGTGTAACACCCCCAACCCGTATCCGACCAGGATACGAGTCCGAAGTGTCACATTGACTTTTCAAAAATTTATTCGTATAAAATAGTGAGTAATTTAAAAACTTTTATAACATTTAAATTATTCAAAACATTTACAAAATTATTCAGAGCTTATACAATATATTCTTTTGATTACATGCCAACTATAACTTTATATACAAAAATACATATTATTCACCTCTCTTCTGATCTGACATTCTGTAAGGAGAACTGACATGTCTTGTTCCTCTTTACTTTTCTTTTCGCTTTCCAAACCTACGTGTGAAACAATCACACGCTAAGTCGATGACTTAGTGAGGCATATAAACATATAATATTTCATATAACATAAAGCATACATAAACATATACCATCATTCTCTATCATTATCATTAAGAAACACACATAACATCATATGATTCATGTAACACATTTCAAACCACTTACCTTTGATAACCATTTATAAACCCATCGTATACATATCACATTCAGTATGCTTGTTTAATCACTTTATTAGTCCATGTACACTAGTGAGAACTTAAGGTATGTGAGTACATTGAGGTTGTGCACACATATGCTATCACCACAGCTCGATCAATGTCCCGAAGGACCAGTCCATAGATTCCGAAGAACCTAGGTAATCAGTCCATATGTCCCGAATAACATAGGTAAACAGTCCATATGTCCCGAAGAACATAGGTAAACAGTCCATATGTCCCGAAGAACATAGGTAAACAGTCCATATCCCGAAGAACATAGGTAAACCCTCGACCCTTGGCATGCCAAATATAGCTCTCATATCACATAACATGGGCATTATCATTTAACAGTTCACATTACTTGTCATTTATCTTCTGTCACATACCACATGTATGTGTAACCATGTATTCCATATCATATCACATGTATCACGTATTGCCTATTCATATGTCATTTCATATAACATATATCATATGTGCATGTAATCACATAGATCGTATCATATAGCTTCATTCATATCACATATTCATATAAGCTCATAGCTTCTTTCACATATACATGTAATCACTTAGTCTATTTTCATGTAATTCTTTTCACTTCTCATATGATTTTATATTCATATCTCACATAGCTCATATCACCTTGCATTGTTTCATATAAACATAGATGTCATACCTTGTTCGCATATATTTTCCATATAACTCATATATCTCATAGTTCTTTCACATAGCTCACTATCATATTTTCATATCATATATCTTATAATAGATTCTTATATCATCATTTGTTTCCTTTCTACCTATTCATAATCACATTAACATGTAATGCAAGCAATATGTATTAATACATACATGTAATCACATAACTTATACCACATGATTCATGTAGTCATTTAGATCATTGTCTTTTAACACATATCCCATAATCACACAAATCATCACATAGATTATCAATCAAATCACATTTTAGGAGTTACTTCTTACCATAGTAACTCCATCACTAGCTCATCGCAAGCCAATGTTTATTCAATAATATAAGTACAAATTAAATTGCACTCACCTTAGCCTTGCTTTAATTCGATTATAATCCTTTGATTATTCCGGAACTTGCTTAGGCTCAATATCTACATAAATATATCATTTCAAAACAACTATCAGAAGCCTAAACTTTAAACTTGATGTTAATAACTTAAACCGGTTTAATGAATCAAATTCCATTTTTTTATTTAGGGGGAATCGATACCCCCCCCAGGGGAATCTGTTCTCGGGGAATCGATACCCCCAGGGGAATCTGTACCCCCTGGACATTCTGAAAATTTTCGTCCAAGAGGGGGAATCGATTCCTTTCATAGGGTATCGGTTCCCTCTACCCATAAATTGTATTTTAACCCCGAAAATC